CTGAAGAAAAAAAAATAGCCTACTAAGTGTTTCTTTTCATACATTCTTATTTATGAGTTTTTATGCCAATGTGTGCATTAATTGTAGAATAGAGTAACATCCTGTGTTTATAAATATACACACATCTATTCATGACAATACAAGCAAAACAGACCAGAAGGTAATGCAGGGATGCCACTCAACTTTTTTGAAAATAGCTGAAAATCCATGCACCACGGTCTCGCTAACAGATGAATATCAATTTGAAACCCAAAGGGTGTACATAGAGAGAAATGACAAACAAACATAAGCAATGGGTGTACAGTGAAGCCTTCGTTTTTCCATTATTTGAATATTTGGCGCAAGTTGTTGTGTGTGTGTGTGGATTTTTTTGTTTTGTTTTTGTTTTTTCCAACTATAGATTCTATCTCGATTTCAATAACGGAATAGCGGATCAGGACCAAAATACCGGAAAAAAAGTGGAAAAGTGGCATCCCTGAGTAATGGGTAAGATCGCCTAATATAAGGACCTCCCTCTGATACAACTGTGAGTTCTGATCTCAGAAAGCTGTGCTTCATCACTTCATCACAGAAAACAATTTTGTGTCATTATGAAAAGAAACGAGTTCATCACAAAGAGTGAAATGAAAAGAAAACAAAAGATTTCTGTACTGAAGGAGCTTCAAAGTAAGACAGAAGCATAACAATCTTGGAGATGCATCAACGTTTAATTTCTGGGGAGCTCTGAGCACAAAATCTTTCATGTTTGAAATATTCAAAGCTCAATTTCTTTACTGGGTGTGGCATTTATAAGCAACTGTTTGAAAATCATACTTGGACTTGGAAAAAAGTGTGTGTTTTGAGCTCCACAAGACAATATGGCAAAGGCTACCCTGTTGTTCCAAGAATACTTCACAAGCTCTGATCACTGAAGAAGCCTGTCTTCCCATAGGAATTACTATGAACTTTGGTTTATTTTGCATAACGAGGTCTGTAAAACCACTGAATTTCTAAGTGTTTTGGAAAAGCTCTTGGTTCAGAAAATGAGCTGCTATGCTCTCCGCAATTATTTTTATGTGCTTCAAACTTATGTCGTTGTTCTGTATGGGGAAATCAAATCTATCGTCTTTAACAACATCTATCATCAGTAAACCAGTTTATCCGAACATCCTCATATCAAAATTAAAAAACAGTTTTTCAAGGCGAAACAAAACTTTCGCTCACTACGTTCAATTCCAAACACTTTTTCAGCTCAAGATGATGCAGCTCTTTCAAGAAATCTATTAGTGATGGAAACGAACGGTACATAATGCACATTGACCATTCTTTTCTAAATAAACTTGAGTGGTAAAGCAATAAACAATGACAAAATGAAAAAAAGGGCAATCATCATTGAATGAACAAGCAATTCAAAACATTGTTCTCCGCCTCATACATCTAACATACTGGCGCAAAAAAAGAAATCCTATAAAGAGAGAGAAGAAATGGAAAACTCAAAATAACCTCTGCCTAGATACATGATTGCTTTATCATAAGGTACATCCACTTTCTTTGAGTACCCCTACCCCCTCCACACCACCACCATACACACACAGACATGCTAGGAATGGAAGTGAAAAAAAAAAGATTCTGACAACACAGTTTTGCCTCATCTAGTAAATGTCCTAGAGTTAACAGTAATTATATTTGTATACTAGTACCTGGTCATGGCGATAAGACTCACAAAAATTAACAGTGGTGTCTTATGTTTTATGTTTTAGTAAGAGTTTTACGGCACTTGCAACACAATAAAGTCATAAAAGTGCCGAATTTTAGAGGTGTTACAAGAGAGTAACAAACATAAAAAAGAAGGAGGGAGATTAGTAGGAGATAAATTTTTTATAGGAAAGAAGAAACAAACCACACCAGAGCACCCGCCAACCACCCACAGAATGGTTTCTATCACTGGCAAAAGCTTCTGCTTCACGCTCTTGCCACAACGCAGGTAACGAAGGCAAACTGAGAAGAATGAGTCACAGTTCAGTAACCGGCCTAAACTTTGCGATCTCTCAAACTATTTACCAACTAGAGGTGCCAAGAGATGTCACCAATGGCAACCCTCTAGATCCAGCTTTTTTTCTTGTCCTTATTAGAACAATATCAATCAACTGGCAGACTTTCTATTGATTCATCACTTAAGAATCAGGGGATGCGAAAAAGTTGTAACTTGTACAAACATAGGAAAAAAATTTGAAAATACAGAATTCAGCCCATGTAGCATTCCTGAATAAACAAATACAGGTTGAAAGTTCATTTCGGGACACTATAATATCATATTTCTAATTTGCTGGAGAAGTGAGGATTTTTTTATTTGTTCACATCCCATCTTGACAGATCTGAAATCTTTTCTACCAAGTCAAATTCACAAAATTTAATTATTTCCTTTGGTTTTTAAGAGGAAATGACTGCAGTGGCTCTCTTTCTCTGCGTGACTGTCTTGCAGGCTGTTGTCTTCCTAGTCTTCTTTGATATCTTCATGCACAGCATAAAACAACTTCTGACAGATGGCTGAAAACTTTCCTGGAGACAAAGAAAGCCAAGCAAAACAAGTTAGTTAGTTTTAGTAGAGGTTTTACCGCGCTCGCAACTGCATAAGGTCATATGAGCGCCAGAAGATTAGAGGTGTTACAAGAGAGTAACAAACATAAAAAAGAAGAAGGGGAGATAAGGAAGATAGATGTTTGATAGGAAAGAAGAAGCAAACCACACCAGAGCACCCGCTAAAAACCCACCAAACAAGTCAGCACATACCACTGCTTTAAGAGATACATTCATTCATTACATACAAATAGATGGGATGAAAATTCCCCCCCTCCCCCCTTTCAAACCAATTTTAAAATAAAATACTTTGACATACTGTGTAATCATTGCCTGAACAGAACTGCATTGTGCATTTTTCAAGAATATTGGCAGCAAGTTTTGTCTCTCTATTAAAAGTGGAAAAAAGGAAAAAGAAACTTACCTTGATCAACCTATCAAAATGAACTTTGTCAAAAAGCCCGAGTAAGCCTTTACTCTCCTCCTCCTCCTC